ATAATAATAATAATAATAATAATAATAATAATAATAATAATAATAAAAATCAAAAATAGAAATTCAACAACTATGGCACAAACCAGCAGTGGTAATTCCAGTGGTAATTGGCACACTGGGTGCTATTCCAAAAGCACTGGAATTACATTTAAAACAGTTAAAAATTGACAAAATCACCATCAGTCAAATGCAAAAAGCCGCACTGCTTAGATCTGCACGCATATTACGAAAATACGTTACGACGTCCTAGGCCCCTGGGTGGGGCCCGACTAGTAACCAATGCCAAATCCAGTGAAACAACTGGCCGCTGTGATACAATTGTATAATAATAATAATTTATCAGACTTGAACATTCTGATTCTACAAAAAAACCACCCTACGTGGAAGAGCTTATATCTTCCGACTTTACCTTAACAGTTCCTAGGTCCTTGGTTAGGACTCGAGCTGTTGAGCTACCATCCAGCCTCAAAGGCTGTGAATCTCACCAAAGATAAACCACACAACAACAACAACAACAACAACAACAACAACAATAATAATATCATCTTCTTGAAACCCTAATCCATACGAATGTTTGGTATGTAACAATACAAACAAGCAAACAATACTTTTTCTTGTTGGGGACTCTTGTACAAAAATTAACCAACTTCATACCCCCTCCCTGGTTTATAAAACAAAACCTTGATGGTTACATCAAGATGGTGATTTTTTTTCAGGCTGTGTGTGAATAGCAAATACTTAACTTCCTAACTCTGCCCCTCACAGCTGATATCACATGCAGTTGATGCCCAGATATGCCTGGAGATATCAACTCCACCACACTCACCTGACTTAGAGAGTAGGGAGTAGCCTTGTTTGCTCTTGAGTTGGAGAGGATGTGTGAGAGCATTTGTGTTAGCACTTAAATTGTGACAAATTTAACCAAGGTCTGCTAGTGGGGAAATAAAATCAGATACAGGGACAGCTTCAAAATGTTTATGTTTGTGAATATCTGTATTTTGCAATTCAATGTTTCAAATTTCAGAAAGGTTTGTGTGTTGATACATACATACATATATATATACACACACAGTACATACTTACCTACACATTCCTGGGGGAAAATTGGCAAACTATATGCCTTTCAGATAGAAAGTTGAAAAAGTTAATTTTTTCTACATTCAAGGGAATGAATATGAAAACTATAAAAATAAAACTTTTTTTAAAACGATAGAAGCAAGGCTTGTTTTTCTTCCATTTAAGCTACTGATTTTTAGAAATACACAAAAATTAATGCACAAATTGTAGTTTATTTCCAAAATTATAAGGAAGTCTAGGATTCCAGGGGCTGATTAGAAGGCCGTCTGACCAATTGATTGTTTGATTTAATTCTCATCATCTTTTAACAATCCCATAATCCCTTGCGGATTGGAGTCTGGCGAATTGAATGGATCAGAGTGTTTATTGGCCGGATGCCTTTCCTGTTGATAATGCGAAACTATATTCAGCAGATATGTTCTCAATCTGCCCAGAGAGACAAATATTTGCCTCTACATCGGATCGAAATAACCACCTCCTGATTGTGAGGCAACAGCTTCCCCTCTAGGCCACAGCACCACTCATTTGATATAATTCTCTGATTCTGTTATTATCCCCTTTAGCAAACTCCTACAATGGAAATTCCATGATTGGCTAGAATAAGCAAACATATTTGCAGAGAGGGAGGTTGGCTTTAGAGAAGGTCGATCTACCATTAATGATTGTCTAGTAGTCTATTATCTCATTGAAAAACATTCCTTCCACAACACAACCACCTTATCTGTCATTTTCATAGACTTTAGAAGGTAAAAGGTAAAGGTTTCCCTGTACAGTTGAATCCAACTCTAGAGTGCGCTGCTTATCTCCCTTTTTTATCCGAGGAAACTAACATTGTCCAAAAACATTTCTTGGTCATCTGGCCACATGACTATACCCTGAGGTTCACGTAACTCTGTTACCTTTCCACCGAAGTGGTACCTATTCATCTACTCACATTTGCATGCTTTCAAACTGCAAGGTGAACAGGAGCAGGGACACGCAACGGGAGCTCACCCCATTGCATGGCACTTGGGTCTCAAACCCGGACTGTCTACTTTCCAGCTGACAAACTCAGTGTTTGAACCATCATGCCCCACCCCTCCTTTAAAACAACATTTAATTCTATATTCCAAGTTAAATTGTGGAAAAAGTTGGAGATTTTCTCAATTGATCAATATCTCCTTTTTTAAAAAAAATACATATGCATCATAAAGGGACATCACTCAAAGTAAAAGTAATCCCCAGGACCAACTCTCCAAGGTTTTTAGTACTAAGAAAGGTGTCAAGCAAGGAAATTATTGTCCCCACTTCTTCTTTTTTTGAAATTTTTGTATTATTATTATTTTCCTTCTACAACCCCTTACAGTCATTATATCAACATTATAATGTCATCATACCTGTACATGTNCCTCTGTTTTTTGCAGACTCAGAATACATCAAGTGTTTTTAAACGGGGCCATTGGGTATTTATCTGTATCCTTTTCTCCAGTTGTATTTTATCAGTGATATGCAATGCCAGATAGTTCCCCAAACTCATGAGAGTGGCCTCATCTTGTCAGGAGCCCAAACTCTTTCATTCCTCCCGTCCCAACCAGGAAGCCACATCCTTCCCTATACTCTGTTGCAGCAAGAGTGCCTCGGGGTCCATCTCAGCCCCCCCAAATCTACTAGGATGAATTTGTTCATCTTAATTTGCAATATTATATATTGTTTTGTTATAATCCCTCATTCTTTCATTTCTTTTTTTCCTTTGTGGTCCCTACAAAATTAAGTTTTTAAAACTATTGGGTTGGTTTACTGTACTAATTTAAAAATGGTTTAATAGCACAGAAGATATAATGCTTTGATATGTCTCTGAAGCACAGAATCTCAGGGTGCAGAACACGGACATTGTATTCCCTCCAGTTCGTCCTCTCATTTCCCTGCCCTTGATTGATTCTCTCCTTACTCCAACTTGGGCCTTTCCCTGTTCAAGATTACTCATCTGTTTCAGCCATCTGAGCTCTTGACACATACATAGTTAGAATTGCTGAAGCCCTTCCCCAAAACAGCTGTAGACCCAGACACTGAGGCAGAGATTCTAAATCAGTCCTTAACCCAGTCCCTTCTTTGCACTTCTCCAGATCTTTTCTTGTTTGTACTCTGAGCCATTTATATCCTTGCAAACATGCTGAAATTATGGTTGGTCACATTGACAGCCAGTTGTTGAGATTAGCAAATTTATCTATTTATTGAGTCCTTCTCAAAGGCAGATGTACAGATGCTGTTCTTTAACAATTTTATTAAAGGTATCATCACAGGTGGTAAGGGATGCTTTTGTAATTGGACCCAAGAAACCTATTATTATTGCTACTAGTTTTGCTTTCTTTTGCCACGCTCACTCTAC